ATTGTTACACATGTTATATGTCTATGTGTTACAAATCCAATATATATTATAATTACCACTTTATAATAATTATATATCTTTCAAAGAAATTTACAAATAAAACAAATATGTATTTATGGAATTTATTACATTAAATTTTGTGTTTCTCATTTGTGGTTTTGTTTGTTCCTGTGGATTCAAATTATTGATGGTTTCTCTTCCCTGTTCCAGTACACCTTTGTTCCTATCCATCTCCTTTGTGTTGTTTTCCACAAGTATATTATAGATCCCACAATATAATTATGTACATAGCATTTTACATAATTGTTTTTAAAATCATTTTTTAAAATTAGGAGAAACATGCAATTGTACTATCTTTTGTGATTATCTACATAGTTCCATTTATTGCCACTTTTTAAAAACTGTGTGTTTAAATCAGGAATCACTTTCAGCCTGAAAAAATTCCTTTAATATTTTTGTAAGATAGTTCTGCTAAGACCAAGTTCTCTCAGTTTTTGTTTCTCTGGAAATACAGTAATACCTCAGCTCACAAATGCGTCTCTTTGCAAACAATTCAGTTCATAAACAAAAATGTTTGGCAAAATTTTGCTTCCATTCACAAACTCTGCATCAAGTGACAAACATGACTATGGCATTGTCTTAGTTACTTTTTGCATTGCTGAGACAAAATATCCAACACCCAAAGTTAAAGGATAAAAGGTTTATTTTGGCTCACAGTTTGTAGAGGTTTCAGTTCATAGTTGGCTGGCTCTAAGGGAGAGTGATATGGCAGAGGGACATTGCAGAGGAGAAAAAGTTCATGGTGGTCAGATGGCAACAAGGTAGCAAAGAAGCACCAGCAGCCCTCTTTCTGTCCCTTATATTCCATCCAGGTTACCTGCTGGAAGGGCACCCTTAATCCCAGCATCACACAATCCCAGCATCACACACCCTAGAACCAGCCACATTTGAAAAGCACCCCTATAACTGCGTGAGGATTTGGGGGAACATCTAGATACAAGCTATAACAGCCATCTTCCCAACACAAACACAAACATAGCTATCTTTCTCAAAATTGTAAAACAAATTAAGTTCATAAACTGAGGTACTGCTCTATCTCTGTTTGACTTCATTTTTGAAAAATAATTGTGCTCAATGAAAGATTCTTATTTCACAGCTTGTATTTTTCCATACCTTAAATGTTATTCCATTACCTTTTGGCCACTACTGTTTCTAAAGGTTAGCTATCAACCTTATTGTCTTAGTTACTTTTCTGGTTGCTTAGACAAAATAACCAAAACCCACAAGTTAAGGGAGGAAAGGGCTATTGCAGATCACATTTCCAATAGTTGGCTGGTTCCAAGGTAGGGTAGCATGGCAGAGAGGCATCACAGAGGAGAAATAGTCCCTGGCAGAACAGGCAGGAAGAAAGAGCATCAAAGCAAAGAAGAAATCCTTTTTTTTCTCCTTTACCCTATCCAAGCTACACGTCTTTGGGGTAATGACCCCCACACCCAGGGTGTGGCTTCCCATTACCCACTCCCAGAACAATGCTAAACCAATCAGTGGACTAATCAATTTATCCCACCCCTAATCTGTATTCATACACTCTTAATCCACATTCCCATACCATAGATCCAGTCATCTCTGAAAACTCCACCTATGATCACATGAGACTTTGGGGGGACATCTAGATACAAACCATAACACTTATTGGCATTCTTTCACTAGTATACACAATGAGTCATTATTTTTCTCTTGTTACTTTCATGATTTTCTTTTTGGCTTTCAACATTTTGGATTGGCTGGGCTGTAGATTTCTTTGCTTTTATCCTAGATGTCCCCCCAAAGCCTCATGTGGTCATAGGTGGGGCTTTTTCAGAGGTGGCTGAATCTAGAGTATGTGATGCTAGGATTAAGGATGTGTAATTACTAAATTAATCCACTGATTGATTTGGCATAGTTTCTGGGTAGAATTAAGGGTGCCCCATCCTGGGTGTGAGTGCTACCTGCCCTAAGGATGGGTAGCCTGGATAAGAGATAAGGGACAGAAAGAGGATCACCACTTGTCCCTTGTCACTTGCTGCCTTCTGTCTGCCATGAACTGTTTCTTCTCTATGATGCCCCTCTGCCATGCCACCCTGCCTTGGAGCCAGCCAATTATGGACTGAACCCTCAGCAAACTGTGAACCAAAATAAACCTTTGCTCCTTTAAATTTGGATGTTGAGTATTTTGTCTCAGGAACAAGAGAAATAGCTGGGACAGAGTTCACTGAACATTTGAAAATGAATAGAAAATGTTTTCCTTCAATATAATGCTGTATTTTCAGACATTATTTCTTTGGATAGTTTTTTGCTCCTTTCCTCACCTTTTGGTACTACCATTATGCATATGTTGGTACAATTAATGATATTTCAAATTTTTTGAGACTGCTCATTTTTCTTCATTCCTTTTTATGTATTTTACTATGTCTTATACAATAATCTCCTTTTTGCATTTTCTGCAACTGTCTCTTATACTCTCAAAATTCCTCTATTAAATGACACTATATTAGTGTTTTAAAAATTGCTTTACACACATCACTCTCCAGTTTTAAAGCTTCCAATGACTCTGCACTGTTTATATCAAAAATCATTTGCATAGGCTGCCTTCGTTGGCTCTTTTCATCATAATTTCTACTGCTCCCTTATTCTTTTCTTTTCATCTAGCCAAATTAGCCTACCCATAAAATCACAGTTTTAATTTCAATTGCTATAGTACTTTATGTCTGTCACTTATTCTAAGCATCTTAGAGTTTATTTCTTTATATGCTTCACTTAATGTATTACTCTGAACATAAAGAACAGAAATAAGTGAAATAATTTTATACAATATGACACTTCACCTTGTTTAAATTGATAACAAGCAATGAATATAATCAAAGCAGTCATCTTCACCCAAAAGTAAATTGTTGGAGTTAGAAATTGAAGTAGAACATTAATTAATTAATTATATAATTTTCTTTTCTACTAAAATTGTTTTATGGCACAGATGTGTCTTGATTGAAAAATAATATTTGGTTCCATTTACAGTAATACCTCAGTTCATTAATGTATCTGTTTGCAAAAAGTTCAGTTTACAAACAAAAATTGCCACAAATTTTTGCTTCTGTTCACAGACTCCACATTAGGTGACAAGCACTTACCACAGCCATCTTTCCCACACAAACACAAACACAGCCATCTTCCCCCAAATCATAAAACAAATTAAGTTTGTAAACAGTGGTACCACTCTATATAAACAACTGCACATATACTATTTTTTGTTTAATTAATGCCTTGGTAATTTAGAGAAGTAGTGGATGAAAACAAAAAAGAAAACTATGTAAACTAAAGTGAATGCATCTGTATCCTGGCTGTGTCATTTCTTTCAATCCTTTCTAGTATTCCCACTTCATTATCAAAATGAATAATCTTCAACCACTCAATCTTAAGCCCACTGTTCTGATGGAGTCCCTTAGCAAAAGCTTTCTAAGACATCATGATCTACATATATCTGTAATTCCATTTTATACAGTATAAATGCTTATCTTTTTTTACAGTGTGAATGATCATGACCAATTTTTATATTATTGATTGCTTTTTAAAAATTTGACATAGAGTAAATGAAAAAAGGCAATTTTAGAAAGCATGCCATGGGGAAAATAAAGGTTTATTGTATGCTGATTTCCCCCCCTTTAACAAGTTGAGTAAAACCATCTTGACATTCTATTTGGATTTGGTTATGCTGGTCTATTTTTTCTTTATTAGTACAAATTTGCAGCACATAATGATCACACTTCTCATAGGGTATTGGTACATGTACATAACATATCTTTATTCTTTTTTTCATCTTTTTCCTATCTTCTCTTCCCCTCCCTGCTTCCCCTCCTCCCTCCATCCTTGGTCCCCTTCCTTTTTGCAAAAGATTTATGACTTGTATCCTATTATCTTCTGTTTTGTTCTATAATTTATTTATATTTTGCGTTTTTCATATAAGAAAAATCTTATGATATTTAAGCTTGTGTATCTGATTTATTTCATTTAACATTATGGTCTCAAGGTGTATCCATTTTCTTACAAATGACTGAAGTCTATCACTCTTTACAGCAAAGGTCTATTCCATGGTTGTGCCACTCTTACACTATGCTGAAAATTTAAACATACAAGCATGTAAATATTTTTCTATATAATAGGTATATCTATAAATTTTAGCAATGCAAGAATATGTAAGGGTACTTACTAAAAATAACAAAGCAGAATTTCAAAAAACATGCCAATTTTATCAAAATGAGTTAAACTGACAGCATAACTAGAAAGATAAGTATATTAATGCAGTAGTTGCTTTATTTCCATTTCCTTTTCTCTTTATTTTATTCAAAACAACATGAAATTTGAAAAAACCAAAGCCTTCCCAAATGAGAAATGGTTGTTTTTATTCATGCAAATAGAATACATCATTAAAATCATTTTTAAATTACAAAATACATCATCTATATTCAGCATCTAGTTGACTTTCTTTGAAATTAATTGGATAGATATGGAATAATTTTGAATATTATCATATGATTTACATTGAAAATTTTCCTGCATATGAAAGGAGTTTGCTTGTATTTTAGATAAAATATTGAGCCTAGTATGAATTTTTGTTGTAATATATTTCATTGTGCAGATAGGTATGTATGCATGTGTCTTCAATTCTAAATTCATTCATTTTATCTTCAAGAATAAAACAACTAACCTTTACAAGAAACTAGATTTATATGTGGAAAATTAAAGCAATTAAAGGTGGATAATTTTACAAATACTGATTATATTGCAGATAATTGTTACAAGTCTAAAACTTGTTTATAAGTTTGATAAAAATATTAGGATATGTAAACTTTATCTTATTTTGATAAATAATTTATTATTATTCCTTTTTAAATCTTTTTAGTCAAATTTTACAATTCATTGGATGAATACAATTTAATTACATTTAATAAAATTGTTTTTTCCCTTAGGAAAAAGTCAAAGAGAAGGAAGAAAATCCGAATCTTGTAAACCAATTCTTAAAGTAGAGTACAAGACCTGCAGAAACAGGTATGTATTTTTTGCTTTGGTGAATATGAGAAGAGATGTAAGGAACAGAGACAAGAAAGGCAGATAACTTTTACTGTTAATATATTGTTTAAACTTTCACATAACTATAAAGTTAAATCCTCTACCTTTATTATAACTGATTTTTTATTTAATAGTATATCTAAGTGATCGACATTATGAATATTGAAAATAATAGGAATTAGTTATTTTAAAGTTATTTGTATAAGTGTTATATGCATTAGTATTAGAAACAGAACTTCTGGTCATGCACATTAAAAGTAAAAATACTGAGCTTTCCCCTGTGAAATTTATTTCATATTACAAAATCTCTTTTTTATCTCTTAGAGATTTGAGGCCCCACATGATAACTAGTTCATGGGATACTGTAATATTACCTAATATTATACTAAAAGTGATTTAGAGTTTTGAAACTAGCTAATGTGTTAAGATGTCTTAATGGATGGAGGAACAAAGGATGGGGGAGGGAGGAGAGTAAGGGGATGGGAAAAAAAAGAATTGAAAAAAAAGATGAAAATAGAGCTTTTGCTAATTGAAGGGGACCAAGATTTGAAAGAAGCAGGAAGGGACAGGGGACCAAAAAAAATGAAGATGTATCATGTACATGTACCAACTCCCCATGATAAATGTAATCATTTTGTTCTGCAAATGTATACTAATAAAAAAAATTATTTGAAGAGTCAGTGAACAAGCACTTCCACTTCCCTCCAAGCTCATACCTTACTCCCAACAGCTTTAGAGTTACCCATTTTCTGATGGCCACAGTGTATATCCCCAGAAAGGGAAATGGTGAAATATAGGTGATTATGTGAGAAATTTTGGATTAGGAAACCTTTCACTGTTAAATATCTTTGTATATAATTCTCATTGAATTTTGTCTTTAAACCTTAGTGCTTGGACTTTTTGTCATCTTAAGGGACTTCTCAATTTTACTAACATTTTTCTTATATAGTGAACCATTCATAATATTTTCTGGTGGACTGTCCTATGACAAAGCTTGCAGAAGACCAAGTTTAACCATTATGCATGGAAAAGCAATTACAGTACTTGAAATGGATCATCCTATTGTTGAATTTCTAACTTTATGTGAAACACCTTATCCAAATGGTGAGTAACTAAAATGAAACTTTTAATGTTGAAAAAATCATTTTTGAAATGACAAGTTTCTAACAAAATTAAGGTTAAATATTTTCAGTTTTGGCAACAGAGATCAACTGGGGTACACTGTGAACTACAGGTGCTGGAACAGGTTCTGCAATTGTACCTACTTGACAAACTGGAAGTAAGACAGATGTAGTGCAGCAGTGCTGGCGTTTCAGGTTCTAATGTCAGGTAAGTGCTTTAAACTTTGATAAGGATGGTGGAAGCTGAGCTGGGAGGGTCCGATAGGGGTCCAGGGTGAAATCACTTGGGGAAACTGAGGTCTCCTAATAGTCTCTCCTTGACCAGCTCCACCCATCCTATCCCAATGCCAATCAAAGTTAAAGCACTTACCTGATATCAGTGATCTGTAACTCTGGTGGTGCTGCATCTGTTTCACATCTGGTTTTGCTTCAGATGCAACTGCAGCATCTCTAATTACTGTAGGATTGCTGATGTGTGGTTAGTGATTCATTTCAATTTTTAGCAAATTAGATCTTCAGGAGGAAAGATGCATGTATATTTTTATCGTTATGAATACAAAAACTTTATAAACATGAAAAGTACTCTTTTTTAAATAAAAACTACTCTAAATGCTTGCAAATGAATGAAATCCAGTTTTGATAAAAATATGTGTATGAACTTTAAAAAGTGGGAATGAAAACATAAATAAAAGGAAATAAGGAGTTTAGAAGGGAAATAAGAGTTTAGGAAAAAAGAAAAGGAAATAAGAGTTTAGAGTTGAAATGGCATAGTATGTGTGTACCTTACTACATTTTCAAGAGGAAACATGTAGATGCAGGGGAAAGAGCACTGGACTTGGGGAAAGAACATTTGGGTTTATGATTTAGTTCTGCCACTTAACTAGTTATGTAACCCCAAGCAAGACATTTCACACTTTGGAGTTTTAGTTAACATTTATAAAAATTCAATAATTATCATGTCTCTACATTATTATTGGAAGATAAATAAATAACATACTTTATAAACTATGAAGATATCTATATTGTGAGTTTTAATATAAAATGTATTAATTTAAAATTTAGTTTCATATTTAAAAGATGGAATAACATTAAATGTACCACTTTATTTCCAGAGTTACTAGAAGAAATTGCCTGTGTTTCAATTAATCAGTAAATATCTATTCAATGCTTATATGGTCTCGGTTTTACAAGGACTTATTGAATGTACTGATGAAATATGAAACTGATCCCTGAGGCCTAATTGCTAAAATTTGATCAGCGAGATAATTATGATTTGTTAAACTGAAGTAATGTAAGAATTCAAGTACTGAGTTACATGGTTCAGAGTTTTAAAAACATGAATTTATAGGCTGGTTACATTGTTAATAATTGAAATAGTCATGCAAAGCTTCACAGAAAAATAGAATTTAGGTAGATTTTAAAAGGGATATTAAATAATGGTTTTAGAAATTGTTAGGTTCCCTAGGGTGTTATCAATGTAGAATGAAAACCTGAAAGCCTTTAATAGATGTTTGAAAACAGAAAGCAACAGAAGAATTTTGGGGAAATATTAAGATGATATAAACCACTAAGTTTAGTAAGATTTGCCCAAAAAGAATGTGTAGGTTTAAAGAGACTCTGAAATCTGAAATTCCAGATTCCAACTAAGAAATTTTTATAAAAATGCATATTTAAAACAAGGCCTGAAATAGGGTGCCTGAAGGAATGGAATGAGGAAAAGAAGTAAACCTCTGATTATGGAAAACAACTGGATTGGGAAGTGACATGATAGATGAGTCAGAGATAACTACACTTTTTAAGAATAATGACTTCATGAACAATAATAGCAGTTTTGGAAAGAGATTAAGGTAAGACTGAGTAAAATTGTCTAGAGAACAGAAAAAGAGTCTTCCAATATTTGTTCATGAGTCATCAGAATGTAAATATTCTTTGGAGTTATCAGAATTAATGGTGAAGGATATTGGGAGAAAGAATAAAAGACTAAAAGCTGAAGTTAGGAAATACTTTCTATTTAGAGTCTTGAGAAAGATGTGCCAGCAATAAAAACAGGATATGTAATTGCAAAGACCAAACCCTGTATGTCTATGTGTACATAAATTTCTGCTCATCAATAGAAATGTTAGAACAATTTCTAATGATGGTTAATAAAGTGTAAATGTACTGCATCCAGGCCTATTCACTTCCAACCCATATATTAAATCTTTGCTTTTCAGAAATCTGGCAATAAGGATTGTACTTTTTATTTGTCAGGAGATAGAAGTACTTTGACTTTACTCAGTGAAATTTAAATGTATCTTTTTAACTATTTAGATGTTATTGACTGCTAAAGCAGTTAATACATCAAGATGGCAATTTTTTTTTTGGTGCCTGGGATCGAACCCAGGACCTTGTGCTTGTGAGGCAGGCGCCGGAACCACTGAGCTAAATCCCCGGTCAAGATGACAATTTTTAAATGCCCACAAAATACGGCAGTATATAATGAAAAGTTTCTCACTATCCTTCAAGAGGCAACCAATATTAGTTTCTTCTATATTCTTCCCCAAATAACCTATGCATATGTATATATGTATTCATTTATTTAAACATGTAATCCTTTTTGTACAGATGAAAGAATATATAATATCCTGTATCATACTTCTACAATGGGCAATAATTTTAAGCATTATTTCATATTAACAAATACAGAATTTCAGTCCTTTTTGCAGCCACATAATGATAAATATCATGTACAGGTTAAACAGTTATTAACTACTTTTAATTTGGCTGAATCATTTATGACATCTGACAGTTCAACTTGTTTATCAAAAAACATGAATGCTTTAATGTTGTTTTCTTAAGGAGTATTGCCTAGAGTTATTAACCAAAAATAATCAGAATTTTCCAGCTTCATATATAAAGTTAGCTTTATCCAGTCCTCTCCAATCCCCAAAATAATGTGTTTTCTCTTTAGAGGAGTCATAATTATGATAGAGCTTTTCACCATGTTGGGGGCTAAAATTAAAAAACTGAAATAAAACAATCTAATGAAGTAATACATTTATCTACTAAAGTACACCTACAGTGTGCCAGGCTTTGCATTAAACATCTTCATATATATTTCTTCATCCAATCTTCATGACCATCTAATGTAGTTATTATGCTCTTTCAGTGAGTACAGGAATTTAATTTAAAAATAAATTAATAATTTAATAATTTTCCCAAGGTCACATTTGTAATAAATAATAGATACAGAATCGAACCCAACATTGACTCCCATGGAGGTCTTTTGTTCATTGATTATAACAGAACACAAGGTATTTCTATAAAAATGAAATGTCTTCTTCCAGTTTTTGTTACTAGGAACAATAATAATCTAAACCATCTATAACTACCTAAAATTATAATTTATTAATAATTGATTCATATATGCCAATGTATCAGCTATTTTATTTCTATAGCACTTGCTTCCTAACCAATGATGTTCCTAAGGAAAGAAGGCAAAGATGAAATAATCATATATAACCCTACTATTCTTGTAACTGAAAAGTAAAACATATGAAAACAACATTGAAAAACTTAAAACAACTTTAAAGATAAGAGAGAAGGGGGAAAGTGTCAGTTTGAGAACAGTAGCAAGCAGTATGTGATTGCTTACACAAGCACCAATGCAGGGAGACTCATATTTTCATTGTTTTGTTTGCATGTTTTAAAGTTTTTCTCTCATATGCATGTGAATTACAAACATAAACCTGAATTGACTCCAGCTTCTTAGGTTTAGAAGTATTGTAAAGGCTGTCTTCTCCAGTATTTTAATTCCCATCCAAGACTTAAATCCACTGGACAAAATTCCTACCAAGTGATTGTGAAGTTTAGGATTGAATACTTCCCAAACTAGTGAGTAGAAATGGCTGGTATAATAAAACCAAGATGGAATTTAAAATCAGAAGGCCTGGGTTTAAGTTTTAGCTCAATCCTTCACTAGTTGTATAACCAGTCTCTTCACTTTTTTGGACCTCAGTTTTCTCTATAAAATGTAAAAAAAAAATACAGTACCTCTTCTAGCTACTGAGAATCAAATGTCATATACATATCATATATACAAAATATGTTTATGAATGACTTCCTTAAATTGAGAATGATTCTTTCACTATAGTATTTCCTTACTAGTCCTTTATTATAAGTAGAAAGCAGTATTTGTAATTAAATTAGGACCCCCTCCTACAAAAACAAATCATTTTATGCAATTACCTTTATTGTTTTTTTCCATAGCTCATATTACTTCCTGAATTCTTCTAATTCCTTTGCTTGTTTGTGGACTATAAAACATCCCTATAATGTGAACTCTCTGAGAAACAGTACTTTGTCAGTATTATTCTTAAGACAATTTCTGGAGCATATTGGAGGAAGGAAGAAAGGAAGAGAGAGAAGAAAGGAGGGAGTATATGATTTTTCTAAGCATGTAGTACCAGGCACATACTAGGCAATCTATATGCTAAATTACATTGAACTGCAAGTAATAGTAGTAGTACTGTCACAGAGAAGTGAATATGTGTCATTACTCCAGAATAGCAGAGTTACTATTTCCTTAGGACATCTACTTAGAGACGTGAAGATGGAGCTATTAAAATACTAAGCTTATAAAAGGGTAAGATAAATGCTTATAAGTTAGAGGTGATAGTCTCACTTTTCACTCAGTACACTTCTAGTGTGAATATTAAGATGAATTTAGCTCTGTGTTATGTAACTTCTCATGTTTTCCTTCTCTATAGTGATCTTAGTTTTAAAAGTAAGAAACAAGGCATGTATTTTATTAAAGTGTTCCTTGTTACATGGACTCATATTTTGGTCTTCTCAAATTATTTAAATTATATAGTAGGTAAAGAAAATGCAGTTTCAGTGATTTTTAATAAAATATGCATATAAAAACTTTTCAACTTTTTATTTTTACTTGTAGAATTTCAAGAACCTTATGCTGTTGCGGTACTACTGGAGAAAGATCTTATTGTAGTTGACCTGACACAGAGCAAGTAAGTTTTTCATGGACAGATAAATTACAATGATTTTTAAATTCTAATTATTACAATTAAAATGCAGGAGCACATTTAAGATGATTGACATTAATATTCTTTACATAGTAAGTCCCTTATGTGAAAATTGTTCTGCTAAAACTACAGAAATGAAATTTTGTTAAATGATGAAAACTAAACCAGGAGAGTTTGGATAACTGTAAGACATCTTAAAGGCACCTGATGTTTGAACAGAAGCATTTGTAGACTAATGGATGCAAAATGGATCATATTTCTGCCATTTCCATAAAAGTAATTGTAAGCAAGATTTACACAGTATAATAGCTGGCCATCTGCTAGTCTACTGACTGAAGGAAAATTGGCTAAAGGAAAATAACACTTAATAAAAGTATTATTAGACTCCTGTAGCAGATGATACAAAAGACCAGAATCTTTGTGATGAAAAGATGAAGAACTGCTTTCCTTTTCTTTTCCTTTACAGTACATTGTGGGCAATTGAAACAAATATGGAATGCCATTGCTACAGTGATGGTCTCTTACAGTGGCACTCTTTTATACTGACAGTAAAAGTGGACTTGAAATTGACATCTTCTGGCTACATCTTTTCATTATAAATTTTAATAGACATGAATCAAATTTTCCTTCATTATATGTTTAAATTGATCTTTTAGCCCCATTTTTCTGCAGCAGAATTTTATACATTATTTTTCCTCTTCCTAGAATAATCTCTTTCTTTTTCCCCTGGTGAACATCTTAAGAATCTCAATTCAGGTATCAGTTTCTCATTAAAAAGAAATCTTTCCGGGCCGGGGATTTAGCTCATTGGTTCTGCCGCCTGCCTTGCAAGTGCAAGGACCCAAGTTCGATCCCCGGTGCAAAACAAAAACAAACAAACAAAAAGAAATCTTTCCATATCTGTATTATATGGTCAAGTGCCTCTTGTGAGCTCTCAGAGCCCTGCCCCCCATCTTCACTTTAAACCTTTGACACAGATAGAACTTTTCCATTTGTCCTTGTTTAAAGATTGTCTTCCTTTTAAATATAGGCCCCATAATGGATGGGGATGTTGTTTTCTTCTTGATACATTTTTGTTAAGAAGAATTACAGTCTGGGGCTGGGGATTTGGCTCAGTGATGCCACTGCCTGCTTCGCAAGGGCAAGGTCCCAAGTTCGGTAACCGGTACCAAAAAAAAAAAAAAGAGGAAAATTAGTCTGTATGCTTTCCACATCATGTGTATTAAGGGAGCATTCTTTGTTATACTAATTTGCAACATATAATATGTCAGTATTTTGAGTAAGATGTAGGATGTGGACTATAAAGATCAAAGCTATGAATTCTGCCTAGTTGCCCTACTTATCAACTTTAAACTTGATTAATTTTATGTATAGGTAAAGATTTGTGCTTCTTCATCTAGGAAGTTCTAAAACAAAATTTATTAAAGTCTATTCTTATGATCTTACTGCTGCTCAACTCTTCTTTGTTCTTCATATTTGTTGGTTCCTCAGACCTTGTCTGTGTCTAATATTCTCCAAGGTCTACTGTACTTTACCTTTAATACTGTACTGTATTTCTTCAGTATATATTTATGCTTTTATTTAAATTGTTTATTGCAGTAAAATGTGTATAACATAAAAATTACTATTTTATACATTTGCTCTTTTGCTGCTTATTATACTAAATATGTAAAGTGACATTTTCTGTGCAAGTCTTTATGTAACATTTTACTTTTTTTAGCGCCAAGTTTTAAAGTTTACATGATATTCCAATTTCATTGGCTATTCATGAAATTTAACATATCAAAATTGATTAAATTCTCTTTCTTGTCAAATACATAATAGTTACTTCTTAGCCATGTTGAAAGTTACACAAGTTGTACATTTTCAATCCTTTTAAAGTATCTTTTTTTTCCTTCTTTACATTTAATCCTCAATTTGAAGGAGAGCATTAGGGTGTACGCATTTTTCTTCTTAAGTTTCTTGGATTCATATCTTCAGTTCCATTTCAACAGCAACCAGTTTATACTTTTACATTTAAATATTGCAATAAATTTTTAGTTATTGTTTCCTCATCTATATTATTATGCCTACTCTTTGCTAATATACTAAAATAATTTTCCCAAATATTTTTCATATACTGTTCACATTGTTAGGAGGCTGACATTGTTACTTCTTGCTATTATCAAATTCTAAGATGTAGGTTTGATATTCAAGGTGATTTATTCATTTTACTTCTTACTTTTCAATCGCACACATTAATAATTTGTACCCTAAAACAGAGAATTTCTGATCCCTGCAGTTTTACCTACTTTTAATTTCCTAAACATGACTTCTCCTTTCCACTTAATTTTGCATGTTGTACTATCCTTATCTGTGATACCATACCCCCTGCAACATTTCAAATTGGTAAAAAGAGAATTCCTTCCAGCACATACCACCACACAAGCTGTATTCTCTGGAGATTGAATTAATGTCCTAATTCCTAATTAAGTTATTAATAATATCACGAGAAAATTATTTTTAGCATTCTCCTCTCCAATCATAAATATTTCATCAGAAGTAGCATTATCAGAAATATGTTGCATAAAATACTATTCATTTCCTTGTCATTACATGAGTTCTCAATATATTATATCCACAATACTTTTTTCATTGATTCTGTATTCATGCCCTTTTTAAAGTTATTGTAGACTTAAGAAAATTTACTGTATCCATAAAACTTCATGCCAACTATTTACTCTCTATATAGGAAATCATCTTTAAAACATACACCATCTGGCCGGGGATTTAGCTCAATGGTTTTGCCGCCTGCTGCGCAAGTGCAAGGACCTGAGTTCAATCCCGGGTACCAAAAAAAAAAAAAAAAAAACATACACCATCACACACTCATACACACATATTTTTCAGTTACTCCTATAAAAAATTAAGTATTTGCCTGTTTTACTTCCTTTTGAAAAAATACCAAAATATACTAACATTTAAATATTTGTGACTACATTATATTTTAGATAAAATAGCTAATATAATTTTTAATAAATAGGCTAAACTTGTTGCATGTTTTCAATTTAATGTAATTCATTGTATTCACAGTAGCATAGCAGTGCCACTGTAGAATGCTGGAATTTTTGGAAGAAAATAAATTTGAGTACATTTTTAGCATTAGTAAAATTATATTTTGTATATAACTATTTTTAAAATGACTAGTTGTTTTATGCTTTTTGCTTTTTGTTTTATGTTTCTGAAAACAAGTAAAGTTTATAAAGAGTGTTTAGAAACATTTTAGGGCTTAATATTAAAATTATTCCGTATTTGTATGTTTGTAAAATGACACTGATACATTGTCTTTATCCATTAGTTTTCCAATCTTTGAAAATCCATATCCCATGGACATTCATGAGTCACCAGTTACATGCACAGCATATTTTGCCGACTGCCCTCCAGATTTGATTCTAGTACTCTATTCTATAGGAGTCAAGCATAAAAAACAAGGATACAGTAATAAGGTAAAAGTAGAAATCACAAATAATTTTTGTTGTATTCATAGTATATTGTCATACTTTTCCCTCTTATTTTATTTTCTGACTTTCCATATAAGAAAACCTAAGTTAAATTCATTTAAAGTTATATGCTAGTATCATTCAAAGCTAGAACCTCTGAAAATCAAATTTCCTAAATGGCACAAAGTTTTAAGCCTACAAGAATATAAACTTCTTAAGCACTAAATATATAATTTTATACTAAAATATACTATCTTTCATGTACATTTGTATACTAAATATACATACATATATATATATATATACTTAAGCTAACATGTTAAATTTTAAAATGTAACCTTTAGTATCACAAGCATATACTAATAAAAACTAGGAAAATAGATGTAACCTTAATTATTTTAGATGAAAGATTATGCTTTAAGAAATGTAAATCTATTCTTCTTAGTTTTTCGTTTGTTAATCCATAGTTTAGAAAACATGATTATTAAATGTAATTTGTTTATAACATCCCACAATATCTTTTTGCTTTTACTACAATATCAAATGTTTACAATTTTCACTGATCATCTATTATGGTTTCTGTTATTTGTCCAGGTCTATTAGAATGGACAACTCCAAGAGATCATTTACATAGTATTCTTTTCAAATAACTCTATAGTAATTTGGTGATGCACAGACTATGTGACTCACTTAGCAACATTGTCTTTGTACAATTAAAAATTCTTCTTTGGCTAGTTTATATGAATGGTAATATTAGTTAAAAATCTATTTTTAATAGATGGAGAATTGTGCATTTAGAGAGGTGTTTGTTCAATGAAAGAGTTAAAAGATAACTACACACTTCATCCTTGATTATTTTATAGCTATTCAATGTTAAGTGAACCTTTTATCATTATTTTAAAATATTTTCACTCAAAGTTTCTAAGTCATTCAAACTAAAAAATATAAAATTTGTATATATTCTTTCTGGATAATCTATTTAGGAGTGGCCAATCAGTGGAGGCACTTGGAATCTTGGAGCACAAACATATCCAGAAATTATTATTACTGGGTAAGTGGAATGTTTTGTAAGTTACCAGTTTATTAACAAAGATGTATTTTTTGAGTTTTGACACTTTTCTGTAATTGTACTCTATGCTGACTAGTGGTTTGAGCAAATGTAAAATTATAAGACATAGTTTTAATCTAAAGATTCTAATCTTGATGGAAGATAGAACCAAACTATATAAAACAGAAAGAATTATGTATAGATTATATATACAAAAGAAAGTCAAAGAAGATAAATTGTGAGAAATGAGTCAGGGAAAGTTTTGTGTTCAAATGACAGATTAACTTTAGAAAGACCCTTCCAACATCTCCTGATTCCTGCCAAGTCCAGAAATTGCTGCTGTATATCACTATCAAATGATTATTTAAAATGTGCTTCAAAACTTATAGCACTAAAAAGACCATTACTTTGTATAGTAAGCCACTTCATGTTCTAATATTAGGAATGAAGAGAGACTTAGTTAAAGATAAACATGAAAGAAGTTCTATTAAGGGGAAGATAGAGTAAATAGACTTTTTCCTAATCTTCTTAATTACAGCTACAAATCCTTGTGTTATATATAAGACAAACATAAGCTAGATGGAAAGAATGGGAAGACATTACATTGGCTAGGGCCCTCGAGTTCCAAAGAATGGCACAGTAGTTGGTTCCTTAGGTTTTTGTTCTGTCAGATTTATCCCAGAAATGGAGTTGAAAAAGCTGGTAAATTGAATCTGTGAATAGGCATAGAACAAACAAAAGCAAGTTAAGTTTAGCCAAAGGATGAGGAAAAGGACACTGTACCAAGAAACAAAACTTTCACAAAATAATCTTTCTACTTGATTTAAGCAGTGCACAGCACACACATACACATACATGCACACACACACTATAGCCCCACTCCAACCCATTCTAGCAAAGGCCAAGTGGGAAGCCCAGACTTTCACCTCATCAGGTTGAAATTCATTATTCCAACTTCCTGAGAGTTTCAGAAAAGGGAGAGCAAAGGGCTGGATTTTCAACTCCATTAGGAAAAAGTTCTCCCTGGTGGTGTCAGTGGAGACCACATGGGAGCCAAAATTAGCAAGACTGCCCAGCATTAATGAGGAGCAACTACTTTTCACCCCTTGTGTCTGTGGAAATAAAATGAGATAGGATAGAAAAAAGAGAGTAAGGGGGAGACATCCAGGTTCGTGCGTCACGGCTCCCAGGCAGGAGGAGACTTCCAGGTAGGTGTGCCATGGCTCCCAACCCAGAGGGGACTTCCAGGTCAGCATGCCAAGGCTCCCACCCCAGAGGAGACTTCCAGGTCGGCACACCATGGCTCCCAGGAAGGAGGGGGCTTCCAGGTAGGCATGCCATGGCTGCCAGGCAGGAGGAGGCTTCCAGGTAGGTGTGCCACAGCTTCCAGCATAGAGGAGGCTTCCGGGTCAGACTGCCAAGGCTCTGGGCACAGAGGAGGCCTCCAGGTCTGTGTGCCATAGCTCCCATTCCATAGGGGACTTTCAGGTAGGCATGCCATGGTTCCTAGCCCAGAGGAGACTTCTAGGTCAGCACACCATGGCTCCCAGCCAGGAGAAGGCTTCTGCATAGGTGTACCATGACTCCCAGCATAGAGGAGGCTTCTGGGTAGGCATGCCATGGCTCCCAGCACAGAGGAGGTGAGCTGCACAGGCGCCAGGAACATCCCCTCACCCCCCACTCCCCCATGTCAAAATGAGAAGACAGGTAAACGAGCCTCAGAATCAGACTTCTAGATCACCTACAGCAACCCCAAAGGGAAAAGAGATGAAACACTCTCAGATACTCAACAACCTGGACTCCCCGATCTAGAAATGAAAGAGGATCTGGAAAAAATGAAATCAGAAACAATTTCTCACATAATAGCAAAGATTGTGCCCATAGTGCAAGACATGATTAATCTAGAGAGGATACAGAAAAAAAAATAGAGGAGCTGAGGATCATGATGGAATACCAACATAGGAAACAAAGTGAATCCATAAAACAGATGCAAACAGATTTCCAGGAGATTAAAAACTCCATTGAAAGTCTATGCAGCACAGTGAGCCAATGTGAAGACAGAATTTGAGATATAGAAGATAGGATTGCAATTAGTGACCAGGAAAAGAAAAATTGCTTTAAAATTTTAAGGGACCATGAGAAATCAATCCAGCAGCTGCGAGATGATGCAAAGAAAAATAACAAAAGACTGATTGGAGTCAATGAAGAAACAGGAGAGGGTACAGATGACATAAAAAAACTGTTTACAGAAGTGATGGCAGAAAACTTCCCAAGCAGGGGAAAAGAACTTGACATACAGATAAGGGAGACATATAGGTCTCCAACTAGCCATGATCAAAAAAAATCTACACATAGGCATATAATTGTTAAGATTCCAGAAACCCCACAGAAGAACAAAATTCTACAAGTAGCTAGAGAAAAGAAACAAATCACATACAAAGGAAAGCCCATCAGAATCACAGCAGACTTCTCAATGCAAACCCTCAACGCAAGAAGAGCTTGAAGTGATGTATTTCAAGCCCTAAAGGAAAACAGCCTCCAACCCAGATTGATGTACCCTGCAAAATAATCTTTCAAAATTGGAGAAATCAGATACTTTCATGACAAATAGCACCTTAGGAACTTCATGAATACCAAACCCAGCACTCCAAAAAATTTTAGACAAAATCCTAGGAAAAGACAATGAGGATCACAACCCCAGGAAGCCTAGCAGAATGAATCGACTGGGCATGACAAGAAATTAAAAGCAAAAGGGGAGGATCAAACAAAAAGAAAAAGTCATGACAATGATAACTCAGTACATATCAGTTATAACCATCAATGTTAATGGTCTCAACTCACCAATCAAAAGAAATTGACTGGCAGACTGGGTCAACAAGCAAGATCCAACAATATGGTGCATACAAGAAACACACTTAATTCAAGAAGAAGCTCATAGACTGAAAGTTAAAGGGAGGAAAACAATACTCCATGGGGCAGGAACCTGAAAAAAAGCAGGAATAGCTATCCTCTTTGCAGATCAAGCAGATTTCAAACCCACACTGATTAAGAGAGACAAACAAGGACACTATATCCTTGTAAAGGGAACGATCCAAGAGGAAGAGATGACAATCATAAATATCTATGCACCAAACACTAGTGCGACCAACTATATAAAACAAGTACTAATGGACATGAAAAACCATATATGCACTAATACAGTAGTAGTGGAGGACCTCAATACCCCATTGTCACAAATAGATAGATCAACTAGACAAAAATAAGCAACGAAATACTAGAACTCAATGAAACTCTTGAACATATGAACTTAACATGTTTACAGAATGTTCCCCACACAAAATCAGAATATACATTCTTTTCAGCTGCACATGGGTCATTCTCCAAAGTAGCCCACATACTCACACATAGAACATGTTTAAGTAAGTGCAAAGGAATTGAAGTTATCCCCTGTATATTATCAGACCATAGTG